CGTCGTCAGTGTCTTCTCGGTCGGGGCAGTCATAGGAGAGGTGGTCGGCGCTTCCGCAGACCCAGCACTCACGCCGTCGACCACCCTTGCCGCGACCACTGTCACGAGTTGATTTCGCCTGGTCGGCGTCCTTCGCCGACCTCCCACCTCCGCTACCACCTCCGCCAGACTTTCCTCGCTGCCCCTGCGGACGATTCTGCTTCGTCGGTGCAGCGTAACTCGCCTGCGGAAGGAGCTCCGTGGGCTGCTCTGCCTCCTGCATAGCCTCATCTTGAAGGATGTAGCTGGTGATTGAGTCCTCGTCGAGTGACTCCCGCGTGCCAGGCACCATCATCATCCTCTTCATGAGGTTGTAGCTACGCGGCAGGCCCTTGACGACGTGGGTGATGTAGGACGCCGTAGAGTATTCGGCGCCTGCCATCCGCATTTCGGCCAGTATCCGTCGAGCACGGTTGCAGTAGTCCGTCGCCGACTCCTGCTCACCCATCCGAAGATGTGTCATCTTCTCCTCCAGCTGTCCGATGTACAGGTCGTCCTTCGCCTGGTACGTCGACAGGATGAAGTGCCATGCTTGGTGACCAGCATCCAGACGCTCTCGACAGCTCCTGAGCGCTAGCTGCACCACCGGCGAGCAGCACCTCGAGATGACCATGAAGGTGAGCAAGTGAGCAGCACGAAACTCCCCGCGCAGCTCGACATCGTCCTCGTGCGGAATTGGCACAGTACCGTCGGCAAAGCCCTTCAGCCCGGCGACCTCCAGCTGAGGTTCAATCGACTCCCTCCAGGTGATGAGGTCACGTCGACCTTGCAACGGTGTGACGGTGATCTTGTCCGGCGAAAACTTGAAGTAGCCATACGTCGGCGCGATCCCGCCAGCCGTCACATGCGTTGTCGCCGAGGGACTTCCACTGCTTCGTTGAGGAGAGCGTCGTCGACCATCAACGTCGACACGCGAGTTGCCTGCAGCCGCCGTCGACCGCTGCACTCGCGCTTGACTCCCGCCAACACCACTGTCGGCAGACCTAAGCACTCCTATCTGCCTTGTGCCCTCATTGCCATTGACTCGTGCACCGTCGTCGACCTCCTCGTCGACGCCTCCTTCGTTGCGTGCCGGTCGAGGAGATGCAGGACGGGAAGGGTGCTCCGTCGCCCACTGCGCCCGGATGCCCAACTCGACGATCTCCAAGGGGATCGTCCCGTACTCGCCAGCCTCGTGGCGTCTCCTCGCATTGGCTAACCGTGTCTCCAAGGTGTCCGCTACACCCATTTCAGCTATGGGGTCGACCATGGTGACTCGGAAGACTGCCGGCCTACGAACGACTTAGTAGGTGCAAAAGTTGGCTCCTATCTGAAGGTATCCTTGCGGGGCCGTCCACGCTCACCGCACCATGAGGAGAAAAACTCTACAACGGTGGGAGCTAGACTACTAGGTAGGCACGAGTTGTAGGAGTGGTCGTAGCTCTGTCTGTGTTCTCTAGGACTTGTGTTTTCACAGGGCAAAACAGCAAGAGTTTCACTAAGGAAAGTTGAGAATAACAGAGTTCAGAATGAACATGCAATGGCAAAGACTGACTACATCACATGCAAGGTTTGCTAGCACTCAGGCAGGTCGACTGCCAGCACGACAAAGTCGTCGACCTGCCAACGAAGCAAGTCCGCGATCCGCCAACGCAGCTCGTACGCGACTTGGCAACGCTGAAGATGGCGGTCTGCCAACGCTGCTCCCGCGCGGCTTGCCAACGCAGCATCCGCGCGGCTTGCCAACATTGCATCCGCAGGTGATTGTAAGCGCATGTGCAAGCACCTACTTCGCAGGTGCTTGTAGACAGTTATGCACAACGTGCACTGTCAAGTACATTGCGCAGGTTGTCAGCCACATGCTGACGGTTGCACATGATGAGCCACGTCGACCACGTGCTGCCACGTCGGTCGACTTCGCCACAGCAGCCTCGACGACGTTCGCACACCTTCGCGCACCTCGTCGAGCAGGTAACTTGGTCAACTAGGTAAGGTACATGACATCTCTGCAGGATGATGACCTTCGTCATCACCGGTTGACGACCTTCGTCGTCGGGGCTCGACGACCTTCGTCGGCCATCTTCGTCGAGCACCTCGGTCATCATTTCAAAATGTCAGCCCCTGATTGGTCGAAATTAGGGCACATTCGAATTTCTGGCCAAAATTCGCCTGTGCAGTCTCAATGTTGCGCAGGGTCAAACGCGACCCTGCGCAGACGGACACCCGCGAACTTCTGCACCAGCTGCGCCACTCTGGTCGACGAACTGCTTCGTCGACCATCCTCGTTGAACTCCTTCGTCGAACTCCTTTGTCGACGAAGTCACAGTGGTTCCGCGCAGGTCGACGACCACCTTCGTCGACCTCTGCGGAAGGTCGGCTGCACCTCCCACACACCCGACCACAAGTCAATTTGCCCATGCGAGGGCGGGGCCAATTTCCTTCAACATTCTATACAGACCAAGATGACCCAGCTAGAAGGGGGCGAGAAATATCGCCCTCAGGGCCCCGCTCCTTCCGATTTCTAGGGGCGAGGCTTCCGATCGGGATTAGCTAGAGGAAAACGTGCCGAACCCTCCTCTTAGTCTTATCCTAGCCTTCGCCTCTTGCAAAGCGTTAGCCTATCGAACAGGGCCAGTACCCTGGGGGACTGGAGTGATAAGAAGAGAGGGGGAGATGGGCAGAAGGGGGTGGGGGAATGAAAAAGGGAGAGGGGGTGGGGGAATGAAAAAGGGCGAGGGGGTGGGGGAATGAAAAAGGGGGAGGGGGTGGGGGAGATAGTGCCTTGAACCACATGCTCTTGCCGCCCCCTCGAAACTGCCTGGAAGCCTCCTGGGGGGCGTGGCTTGTACGGCTGACTTTGTCTTCGCATCGCGGATTCGCTCTCTCTGAACGGTCGCTTCAAGTTGCTGCGGTTCGAATACAAGACTTCCTTTGCACAATGAGCATCCTTTGTCCTGACTCGGAGTCGACTTGGGCGTAACCTCGCGTCGCCATTCAACCCCTTTTCCCCCCACCCCTTTTCCCCCTTCGCGTTTCCCTCTTCCCGCATTAGCTCTCGTCGCATCAAACAAGTTATTCGCCACCAGGACGAATTTCGTTTCTCTTCGCCTTCTCCCCCTTCTTTCCCTCGAGAATAATGGACCCCCCTCCCCTCCCCCTGTTTCCCGCGACCTTTATTTCCGCGCCATACATTACCTCCCGTCGAGGCATTTCGCGTCGAAAGTGTTATTCGCCAGCAGAACGAGCCGCGGCGTGGCCGGCGGCGGCGGCTTGGCCGGCGGCGGAGGCGGTTTACCCGCGATTAGCGACATCAGGTACTGTAGGAACAACGCGACGCCGCTAAAACTAATCTTGCGGCCGGCTTTACTGCTAGCAGTAGAACCAGTTTTTCCACTTGGCGCGGTGTAAGTGGCAGCCCAGCGTGAGTGCGGATTTCACGGTTGTACTCGGTAAAAGCAGTACCGTTAGTCGGTGAATTGCCTGCTTGAAGCTCGGTGAATGCACCCATTATGGCTTGGCTTCACCTCGAAGTTAAACTTTGGCAGTATACTAGCTACTACTACTAAGCTACTCAAGTTAATTAGGCATAAAGCCACTACCGTCGCAGTGAGAACCATGCCGACGAGCTCTGACTGTCTGGGTTTTGTATGATGCGTGTTGTGGAGAAATACGGCAGAGCTCCAGTTTGCCTGATAGTCCCCGAAAGTTGCGGCGAAGCGCAGAATCTGTGTTGGCTGTTATACACACACTATCGAGCCATGGCGTGGGGTTCCATATCCGGTTGATAACGGTGGTACGCGCTGGGAAGCGGCTTTGTTCTTTCACCGCGTTGGGCCGGCCTGAAGATTCGGGAACGTAATATTGCGCCTAGGATTACGAGGCGAATTTTTATCCGCGACTCGGACTATGCGGGCGAACGAAATCGGAAATTGTTTCTGGCGAAATTTAGATAAGCAAATCGCGATGCGGCACCGCGATGCAAGAAGAGAACTTCTGAGCCTGTTCTGAAAAAAAACCATTCCCGCCATTTTCCAGAGAATGTCCAGCTTAAAACCCAACTCGATACCTTCCTTGGAACTTGATGTTGATGTAGGAGTGAGGTTTCTGTGCGTTACGCCCAACAAATGACTCAACTGTAGCCACACAAGGAATCGCAAACACTCTAGCACCATGAATATACATAGAATTGTGAGAGATTAAAATCGGAGAATTTAGTACAATATCAGTCCGCATTGTGCATAGGACAGACTTCATAAAGGGAAAATACTAGAGTTATGCTGTCAAACATAAGCACTATAGAAAAGTCTCAAAGCCAAAACGAAGTCCGAAAGTGAGTCCGAATATGGTCCCTTATCGAACCTGGGCTGGAATGGTTTGGGCTATTCGAACCGCGCTCAACGGTGCTTTGGAATGTTTTGCGGCGCGGCGCGGCGCGATAAACGCCCCAAACAAGGGCCAAATCTCACGGGGATTCGGGGCAGACAATTTCTCGCGGAAACCGACCGTCCAAGTTCCAAACCTAGAGCTTCTCCAACCTCCCATCACATGCAAGGATTATTTGTTAGTGAAGTGGCTTCTCATTCTTGCCCTGCGTATTCTTTCTCTCTTCTCTACGGGTTTAGTTGAGGTGTTTGGGGGAAGCTGTAATAGCCATTAACACTGAAATCAGAAGCAGCGGAGCACAGGATTGGAAGATTTATTAGAATGCAATGCAATTACATGCCAGAGGACTCATCTGCAGTGCATCCAGGACCTATCATTCCAATCTCCTAAGCATCTCTCGGAGTTCACTCCACAGCGGCGAATGATGGGAGTTACCACGACCAAGAGACTCAGTAATACCCCCAGATCCAGCAACCCACCAGTGTAACCAGCAGTATTCGCAGCAGCCTCAGCAGATTCAGCAATTACCACAGCAGCGTCCATCCTGGTCTTCATAATCCCAACAAGTTTTGACGCGCCTCAAATCTCGGCGAAATGAGTTACCACGTCCAATTGTAACCAGCAGTCTTCGCAGCAGACTCAGCAGATTCAGCAACAGCCACAGCAGCGTCCATCCTGCTCTTCATCGCCGCAACATTATTGTCCGCGCTCGTCTTCGCCGCCACAGCCTTGCTCTGCGCGATCTTCGCGCTATTAACCGCGGCAGATTTCGCCGGAACCGACGCAAGGGCGTCGTTCACGTCGCTCGTCGCCTGCGCCACCGCCGCCGCCGCATCGTTGTCCGCCTTCACCGCCGCGTCCAGCGCCGCTTGCGCGTCGGCAACAGTCGATTGGCCCGCCGGCGCAGTCGCGGAATTCGTCGAGTCTTGGCGCTTCGCTAACGCCTGTTTCGCGCTCTTCGCCTGTGCGACCATGTCGTCCAGAATTTGCTTCGCGAGAGTCTGCATCGCCATCTTATCGTTGAGCGCAGCCCGAGCAGCATCGGCTTGTGCGGTCGTGAGGTTAGAATTGGCCGCGTCCTTAGTCGCCTGTGCGACGAACAAATCCAAGCCGGCAAGAGCTTCCTTCTGACGGTAAACCTGCTGGTTTGTCAGCTCAACCCGTTTCTTCGCGGATTGAAGATCCGCCGCAGGGTCGGTTCCCGTTGCGGCCGCGTTTGCCGCTGCCTTTGCGGCATCGAGGTTGTCTTGTAGGCCGGGAATGACGGAGGCGGTTTTGTCCTTGGCTGCGAGTTTCTGCGCGAGGGTCGCCTTGAGGCGGTTCACCAGGGGTAACGCGTCGTTGTATGCCGCAGCGGTGCCTGCGAGGGCTTTATCCGCATCGTTAAGCTCCTGAGAGCGCTGCGCAACGAGCGCGTTGGCTTTGTTAAAGTCGTTTGTGGCGCTGACGGCCGCTGCGCGGGTCAGACGGGCCTTGGTGACTAGGTACGGCTCACTTTGCCCAGAGACGCTGAGGACGCTAGCGGCGGTTACGAGAAGCACGAGGAGAGAAACTTTGGAGAAGGCCATGATTGAGTTCATTTGAAATGGGACTGCAAATCGGGGCTGCAGTGGCAACGAGCTACGGAGTTGTATAGCTGAAGGGGTGCTTGTACTGTGAATGAATGCTTCTGAGGATGAGATGGTAGTTGGGAGTGCGTTTTAGTAGCTGAGAGATTGTGGGGCAGTGGGCAAGAATGTCGTTCTCAATTCTCCCCTCGCATGCCTCTGGTGTGGTGGTGCTCGCAATTCGCCTGTGGTGCGAGACATTGGAAGCGACGCGATGTGTTCCAGGTGCGGCGCGACGTGGCGGAGGGCGACCACAATCGCCAACACAATTGCCAGTTGACCCTCCCAAGTCCCATCCCGAAACGAGGCGAGGTGAGGTGACCAATAACGCGTGTGCCTTTTGGTGAAGAAGTTCAACAGAAAGGTAACCGTTTTCGCGAAATTCGTTAGGTTGCGTCACCACTTTCGGATATTGCACAACCTATCCTACTCAGGATCTAATTTTTACGGAGCTGAAAACGGTTCTAAAAATCACGTCCTTAGAGCCAGCAGCTAAAATAATGACCCCCCCCTTCTAGTTGGGCCCAACTTGAAGTCTCTAGTCTTTGTAATATTTTGGGAAGTTGGAAGTGTGGTGAGAATTTTTTTTCCCACCTCCGAACGAGTTGCGAACTGAACCAGGAACAAGAGCAGTTCTTCCTCATATCTGATTGGCAGCTAGTTTCGCCCAAATGTACAAGTGCGATTTTGGCGCAAGGATGAGCAACGTGCAATGTTGATCTCACAGGCGCTGCAACTTCACCAAAACCACATCTATCAACACTACAGGCAAAGTTCCAAGCAGAAACATCTACGAGATGAAAGTGGAAGAGCGTAGACATGGTGAGAAGCTGATGAAATTGTGCCGCCTTGGACTTGGGGCCTGACGGAGGGGCAACAAGGAGGGATAGAGAGAAAAACAAGAAAGCGTGACGCCCAAGAGGATGATGAACATGGTTACGAACGGAGTGAAATAGGGGCGATCAAAGTTAGGAATACGGTAGTGCCCTGTCGACGGAGTTGTTGGCGTGAGGGTAGGGAGGGAGACGGGAAAGGAAAGGATGAGGGTAGCGGGGACAGCGAGGGCTCTGGGAAGGAAGGGGGGTGATAACGCTGGCGGACGGGAAGCGGAAACATCAAAGGCGACGAGAGTGCAAGGAAGCGGAGACTGCGAAGGCGACGAAAGGGCGACGGGAAGTGGAGATAGCGAGGGCGTAGGCGAGGGAGTGGGGGAGGAAACCAGGAATGAGAGGTTGGATCATGAGGAAGGGAGATCGGTAGGGGAGAGGAGATAGTGATGCGACGGGGATGGAAGAAAGGCAGAGATCGCGACAAATAGGAAAGTGAGATTATGTCAGGCAATTTCCTTATGGGCAGGGAACTCGATGCAGAAGGGAATGAAGGGGAAATTTGTGAGGGCGAACGGGATGCGATCGGAACCCTGGCGAGGGCGAGGGGAGGTTGATGGAAAGGGATGGGAGATGGCGGGGCGTCAGGAAGGCACCGGAAGCGCGACAGGATGGCGAGGGGAGGGCGACAGAAGGGCGACGGAAGGGCGACGGGAAGGCGACGGGAAGGCGCCGAAATGGAGACGAGAGGGCGAGGTAAAGGCGCCGAAAGCGCGACGGGAGGGCGACGGGAAGGCGCGGAAAGCGCGACGGGAGGGTGACGGGAAGGACCGGAAGCGCGACGGGGGGGCGACTGTTGAGATAGCTAGGCAAGGTGAGTTGACTATCGAGAGAAATTTTACAAGTAGGAAAACCCTAAGGGGTTATCCCCTATAACATCTACCCCACTACAGCCTACCAATATGTATCACCTATATATATCATTTGACACACCCCCATAGGCAAAGTGGGGGAGAGCAATGGGTCACAAGACCAGTCAAGAGAAACAAAACAAGCTCAGGGTGGATCACAACGTCACCACACATTCTGAGCACAAGCAAATGGCCACAAGGCCAGTTCACATGCAGAGATATATATGCAGCAATGACAGTACAGTGTCGAGCTACCTAGCAAGAGCCAGCATGCAGGTATATAGGTATATAGATCACAGTACAAGCAAAGACTACAGCAAGTGTGGAAGCATAGGCACAAGGCCTAACAGAGTACAAAAGCGCTGATGATCACCAGACGGAAGTGCCTTGGTGAATATATCAGCAGTGTTGGCCCGAGTGGCCACGTAACGAAGACAAAGCTGGCCTCGCTGCTGCAACTCTCGAGCCAGGAAGTAACGCAGAGCAATGTGCTTCGTTCTGTGTTCCAGTCTGTGCTCCTCACACAAGGCAATGGCGGCCTTGTTGTCAACGTACAGCACTGGAGGAGAACGAGGCTGCTCTCCCAAGTCAGTCAGCAGGTAGGTGAGCCAGCGTAACTCCTGTGCAGCCATGGCGGTGGCGTAGATCTCAGCCTCACAACTGAACCAAGAACTGAAGACGAGCGTGTAGAACGCCACGAAACTGAACCAGAGCCAAGGCTGAAGGTGTAACCTTGTGACGACCGCTGAGTAGCCAGGTCGTCAACCCAAGAAGCGTCTGAGTGCCCAGTGAGGACAACTGGGCTCGTCCCTCCAAGCACTAGCCCCATGCCTGATGTGCTGCACAAGTAGCGCAGTACCCTCTTAGCAGCAGCCATGTGCTCAGGTCGGTGTCGACCAGGAGCCACGTAGCGAGCGAGGAGACCAAGAGGGTACGCGAGGTCAGGTCGAGTGCAAGTCATCAGGTACATGAGGCAGCCGACTAGCTCTGGGTAAGGACCACTCGGCTCTACGGACTCGTCCGAAGGTGGAGCTGAGAGCGTGTGACCTGTAGCCAGAGGAGTGGCCTGTGCTGAAGACCAGGTGAAGCCGAAGCGCTGAAGGACCTGCTGCACCATGTGTGACTGAGTCAAGGTGATGGTGCGGCGTGCTCTGTCCCGGGTGATCTGCAAGCCAAGGTAGCTGCGCAGCTCACCCAAGTCAGTGCACGTGTGTCTCTTCTGTAGCTCCGACTTCACGTGGGCGAGAGCCTCAGTGTCAGCAGTGGCAAAAACCAAGTCGTCGACGTACACGAGGATGTAGAACGGCGGCAGTGAAGTGTCTGTGCGCAGAAACAGCGACGGGTCAGCAGTAGAAGGCGCAAACCCAAGAGCCGCAAGTGTCGTCCTCAGTGTGTCGTGCCACTCACGTGGCGCCTGGCGGAGACCGTAGACCGGCCGTCGGAGGCTCCACTGGGTGCCAGGAGGGAACGACCCAGTGAAGCCCGGGGGGCGGCGCAGCCAGATCTCCTCGTGCAGGCTGCCCTGTAAGAAAGCAGTGCTGAAGTCAAGAGAGTGAAGCTCGTAGTCTCGGTGAGCAGCAACGTGCAGCAGCACCCGAAGAGTGGTCATCTTCGGGGTGGGGGAGAAGGTCTGGAAGAAGTCAACTCCCTCTCGCTGACTGAAGCCTCGAGCCACGTAACGCGCCTTGAAGACAGGCGGAGAACCCGGCGGCCGCTTCACCCTGAAAATCCACATGCCACTGACGATGTTCGCCCCAGGTGGGGGAACCTCGTCGACATAGGTGCCTGTGGACTTCCAGGAAGCCATCTCTGCGTCCATGGCTGCCTGCCACTGAGAGGAGTAGGGACTCTCTATCGCCTCTGCGTAAGAGCGCGGAGTCGGGATGTCTGGTGCATCCGGGTCTCCCTCAGGGGCAAGTAGCGAGGACACAAGATGAGGTAAAGCAGCAGCAAGACACTGGAACTCCTCCTGCCTGTCCTCAAGGACGTCCGTGCTAAGAGCACACTCACCCCCGACGGACGGAGGACAGACAGACGCAGACGCAGCAACAAGACTGGCGGCGTAGTCTAGACGACAGGCAGCAGCAAAGTCAACAAGCTCAGCGACAAGAGCAGACGCAGCAGTAGACTCAAACGACGGGTCAGTGACAACAGTGGCTAGCAGACGCGTGACAGTAGGGTGCTCAGCACGAAACCGGTCAGACTCAGGGTCTGGAACGTCAGGTAGAGAGGACGCAGGAGGAGACGGAAGAGGAACAGGCTGCAGAGCAGAGGAAGGACGACGAACTACGAGGTGTGTGCTGGGGACAGCCTGCTGACGCGAACGAGGAACACGACGACCGGGACGAGCAGGCGAGACAGGACGCGACACAGGCTCACGACGCTCAGCAGGACTACCAGTCTGCTCAGTGTAAGGAGAAGGAGCAGGCAGCGGTGAGCCAGGCTGTAACGGAAGACCAGTAGACGACGGGAGAGTAAGAACCTGACGAAGAACAGAGTCAGACGGCGGCAGAGACGACGGAGACGGCGGAGCGAAGAACAGTCGTGTCGGCGCAGCTGCATCAGTACCGGCAGCTCCAGCAGCTCCAGTACCCCCAGCAGCTCCAGTGCCTCCAGCAGCTCCAGAACCTCCAGCAGCTCCAGAAGCTCCAGTCCCAGAGTCGTCACCTCCAGTCCCAGGGTCTCCAGCCCCTGTGTCTCCAGCAGTAGCACCCCCAGAACCAGCACCCCCAGTCCCAGGGTCTCCAGCCTCAGTGTCACCAGCAGCAGCACCCCCAGAGCCAGCACCTCCAGTCCCAGGGTCTCCAGCCTCAGTGTCTCCAGTACGAGTACCTCCAGAACCAGCGACTCCAGCACCTCCAGTAGACAAAGGTCCAGCACCACTCCTAGCTCCAGCAGCGCGACGCTGACGGTGACCGTACCAGTCCTGGAGCTGCTGTGGGGTGAGAGGCACACGTGGACGAAGGCGGCTACTCCAAGGAGACCGCGCAACAGCAGACTCAGAACCCTCAGCGCCAGCACCCCCAGCTGCTCCAGAACCTCCAGCGCCAGCACCCCCAGGCTCCTCACGCGTAGGCTCAGTACTCGCAGACTCGGCACCCGCAAGCTCAGCACCTCCAGGCTCCTCACGCGCAGGCACAGCACCCTCAGACTCGACACCCCCAAGCTCAGCACCGCCAGGCTCCTCACGCACAGGCACGGCATCCCCAGACTCCGCACCCCCAGGCTCAGCACC